ATGACATTTTGTGAAAAATCTGTATGTTATAGAAAAAAATGGATATCATTTTCGGATTCAGCGTACAGGAAATACTGTAGAACGTAAAAATTTCAAGACAATAAATCATTGCAGGCCTGTGTTATGGTTCAAATTTATGCATAATTTAAATCATTGGCATCTAAAAGTTTCAATATACAATGAATCAGAATGAAAAGCCTTTTTTGTCTCACCTTTCCAAACAACGTAAATGTAAACGAAACGGGAAAAGAACGTATTCAGTTAGCTCTCTGCAACACATCTCAGGAAGAGAATGAAAGGTCTCCGTGACCTTCACCATATTATCTTTTGTAAACTCTTTCGTTAACTGCACACACAATGGTCGCATTAAATTAAATGTATCTTGCACATCAAGCATCTTAAAACTTTATAAAAATTAGTTACAATGAATCTAACAAACAGATTTATACTTATAGCTCAGAAAATAACAAAACTATCAGATTTCTAACAAACTACAAGACTAAACTGAATCCAGTCCTGATACTTGTATCGCCCGCGCCTGTAGCGCTCTGTAGTGTTGAAAAAATTTAGTAAGAAAAACAAATTGGATCATTTAATTTTTTAAAATAGTCGTTAAAAGTTTAATCCTAAATCGGTTTTTTGTGTTTGTTTGGAATTAAGCACAAAGACACACACAATGGTCTATCTAAACTCTGCCAATCACGAGTATCGAAACTTTGTTTTTAGTGTTGTAAGTCCGCAGACATTTTGCTATGTCACTGGGGCCTTTTTAAGAGTGAAGAAAATGATCAAGCAAAATATTTACTTCTGAAAAATTAAATATATTTGCTTCAACTTAGGGAGAAAAAGTTTTCAAATGAAACGGCATTTAAAGGAACACATGTTTTTGCTCCCCAGTAATTAAGAGTAACGCAGCTTAACGATATTTAAAGGAACAAAAATTATTGCTGCCCAGTGAAGGAGAGTAACGCAGATTAAAATAACGTGGCAGTTAATCAAAACCTATTCGCTCCGATTTGAAATTCCTTTATTTCATAAATCCTCTTATGACTGGAGAGATGTTACTGATATCCTCTGATATTTTCTTTTTGCAGTAGAATTAGACTTGTAAATCTGAAAAACAAATTCCTCCCTTTTTAATGATTTGTTTCAAACTAAATATGATTATTTACCAATTTATTTTAATTGGCCTAAGCTTTATTTGTATGTTCCAAATAGCAAAGTTATTCAATGGGCTTTCTATGCTGTGCCCACCACGGGTATCGAAACCTGGTTTTAGCGTTATAAGTATTCATGTTTACCGAAGAGCCACTGGATAGCTAAACCTAAGCATGAGAGCTTATAATGATAAAAGTTCTGGTTGGATCTGTATGGTGGACATCATGAAAATAGCACATTTCGCAGGTTTGTGCATAAACGAAAGTAGACAAATAAATATTTCCTTATTTGCGATTCAGCCCTCTTTTTTAGGTTATAATATATACTTGCCAGGTATCAAAAAAACATTTATGATAAGTATCGAAAGTATATTCCAAAAAGAAAAAAATAAGTATATTAAGAATATCAAAAGAAGTGAGCCGGAAGTAGCCTAGTGGTTAACATGCATTGAATGTGAATCTGAAAATTCATAACATAGCATTTGGACAATTTAATCCTTCAAAGCTGTTATTGCACATCCACCATTCCGAAAAAAAGAAAAAAAGATTCAACCTTTATTTTTCATGAATTATTCTATCCTTCTCTCAAACACTTCTAAAGCACCAGCCTTCACTATTGCTGAACGGAATTCACTCCTTAAGCCAATCGCCCTGTTAGAAAAACAAAACTCGTGCCATCTCGCCCTGTTATCTTCAGAATAAAGTGCACAAAGACATCAGATGCCATTATCATATTGATTTGATGGCTAATTTTAACATAACATAATATTTAGGGACAACAATGGACCTATTGGTCCATCTAGGCTGTCCCATCCACTAAACTAAACTAAAAATATTAAAAGACACCTCAAAGCCACCCCTTATCATTCATGTGTTTATCAGGCTTTCTTCTAAATTAAACTCATTTATATTTACTGTCTCCCCAGCATCCGAAAGGAACCCAGTCCAAATACCTACTACCCTGTTAGAAAAATAAAACTGCATTAAGTGAAGATAACTCCTACCCTACCAGACTTATATTTGTGACCCCTGGTCCATTCATTCATATCATTAAGTGTTAAAAAGATGATGCATCAACACTATCAATTCCTTTTAACAATCTTAAACATCTCAATCAAATTCCCCCTAACAATTTCAGAGATCTTAATCTCTCTTCGTATAACAACTTTTCCATTCCAGGTATTATTCTTGTAGCCCTCCTCTGAACTCTTTCCAACAATTCATAGTATTTTCTTAGATAATAAATCCAAGAATGAACAGGGTACTCTAAATTTGGCCTAAACAATGATTTATAAAATGGTCTTTCTTTAGACTTGTATTCAATATTGCCATTTATTCCTTCAATTCACCAAATCATTCAAATTCGTTTTAAAAGTAGCAACATTCTCCACATAAACTAGCAAAGATCCTAAGATTGGGTCCTGAGGTACACCACTTATGACATTAATCCAGTTTAACTTGTTAATATTGAGAATATTTTGTTAATTTACGCTACTTGCCAACAAGATTGACACACACCGTTTTCGTTTTTCACACAAATATGTTATAATATATATATACAACAGCACAATTTACAGCAACAATTATTACGAATGATTACCACAAACAAAGTTTTATAAACAACAATTTCAACAACTTACAAACAACATAGAATCCTCTTCCTAGTTCAGAGTCTCCCTGATATCCAGCGAGTTAACTTGAAGTCGATGTACGTACAATTGCCGAGAAGCTAGCTAGCTTTGTCAGACACTGATTTGTTAGATCGTCGAAGTAAGATAATATTTTCATAAAATCACTAATATCTGATGAGAATTCAGTAATACTTTCGGAAAGATACTAACGTCCGATGAGAATCCACTGACGTTCGAAATTTATAACTGTTCCTGGTTGAATGTCGTATATTTTCCGGTTGATAAGGGTTAGCAAAATCTTGGTTTATAGCGTACACAGATATAACAGGTTCTTAGCAGATTTACAAACTCTCTCTCTCTCTCTTTTTTGGCGCGTCGTCTTTTATAGACGCGAGTAAGAGTTTCTCGAAAGTTCGGACAACAATACTGAACTATATTGAACCGATTATGGAAGTTGATATATTGTTGATTATTGTGTTCACGAATATTCTACAACCTTGGAGAATTGGCGGGAGTTTCACCATACATAACTAACACTAAGCTAGACACGTTTTTACACATAAACTCAATCCCAACAAACGTTGTCATTAAAATAAATATATAACAAATTCGTTACAGGCAATACATATCTGACACTATAAGTTACGCATATTTTTAAATATAAATTTAAACTAAACAACGTTCATATTGAAAATAAATACATAAAAATAAATTCGTTACGAACTGAACTGTAAAGTTCGCCCTTTTTAACAATAAATAATTTCAATAAAATATTTTATTTCCTGTCTCCTAGCTACAGGCCAATAATTTATAATATTATATTTAACTTTGATATATCATCTGGCTGCATCCATATAAATGATGTATGCTGAAATTATATGGTGCCCATCTATATGATTGCACACCCCTTTCCAAAACCCTAGATCCGCTACTACACCATCACCTTCATCTACATGAGCAGTAACATTTTCAAAGAATGTCAAAAAATTTGTAAGGCAAGATTTTGCCTTAGTGAAACCATGTTGGCTATCCAGTAAAAATTTAAACTTTGTTAAATGACTGCAAAGCATCTTTTTTCAGAATTTCCAAAACTTTTCTCACAATTGATATAAGACTAATAGACCTATAATTACTGGGAAATTTTTACCACCTTCCTTGAAAAGAGGAGTAACATTAGCCAACTTCCAATCCTTTGGCACCTGCCCACTGTACAAGGACTTACAAAAAATAGTAGCAAGTGGCTCCTCACATATTCAATCCTTAACCTCTATCAAAATCTCTCCTTCGATGGGACAATGGTAAGTCTATGGACTTGCAATACAGAAATCCGGAGTTCAATTCCTCGTGGTGTACACAGCAGATAGCCCACCGTGGCTTTACTCTGAAACAAACCAACCTTCAAAACTTTTGGGAAAATATTATTTGGCCCAGAAGTTGTATCATTCTTTAAACTTTCCTATTTTTTTAACAAGCTTAACACATCAGGAGAAAATAAGTCAACAGATGTTTAGCTATCCCTATAAGATAACCCTATGATCATCCTCATAGACCTCATCTGAACTCTTAAACTTTCATTAAATCGATATCCTTTCGTTTGTGCTCCCCAGTGACACAGTGTTATATCTGCGGACTTACAATGCTTGAAACCTGGTTTCGATACCCATGGTGGGAAGAGCACAGATCGCCCATTTTGTTGCTTTATGCTTAATTACAAACGAACAAACAAACCTTTCATTTATAAGGAGACTAAAACTGTACGCAAAATTCCAAGTGAAGCCTAACTAATTACTTGTATAAATATACTTACATATTTTGATTTAATGTCTTTATAAATACAACCAAAATTATAATTTGTAGATTTTGTCCAACTTTTTGTTTATTCAGGTGTATGTGCACTTTTGGCATAACACGTGGTCAAGAAAGTTATTAAGTTGCTTTCAAACTAACTGCCTTTGTTCCTGGTCATTCTCTTGCAATAGCAACTGGTATGTGTCTAAAAGTAGACAGTAGTTTTCTCCATTGGTCGGACAGGTGATATCTCGAGGTTATAACTTCCCTTATGTTTCAATGGGATTGATCTACAATACCATATGTGGCACTCATGTTAGAGACAGTATTATAGAATTTAGTATGTAATACAATGATCTCTTACTTAACTCTTTCAAGCTTAAGCCCTCCGTTGAACAGAGGGGGGTGGGCAGATGGGCCAGTTGGCATGGGCCTACTATTTTGAGGGAGCCTACTTCCGAATACAGAATAAACATGAATGTACTATTGTATTTACTGATTCTTATTACAGTACTGTACTCTATTGTCTTATATACATTTTGAATAAAATTGCTTGCCATTACCTTTTTTGTGTGGTGTATTCACTAAGTGCTATTAGGATATTAATGTCAAATATGTACTAAATTTATTACCGAATGAACAAGCATAAGAATATTTGTGACTACTTCTGTAATTTAAGAGTGTCTGCATTCCAAATAAAGCAAAGTGTGTGCCAATGCAAACGCTCAACATTGAACATAAATGGACACGACCGTGATAGGGGTAATGTAATTATGATAGTGACTTTACATAAATACAGAACCCTCATTTATGTGATGTTTAGTGCTCTTAACTTAACTGTGCCGATCACAAAAACATCTGTGCTGGGGGGAGGAAGAGGTTTACATAGCACCTGACCCTCCTAGGTTGCGAACACACGATGGCAGATCATTCTCAACACAGGTATGTATAGGGGT